CTCTTGCATGATATTTTACATAAAAATCTAGCTGCCTACCACAGATATCAGTAGTTCTTTAATATGTTGTGTACAGCTCTAAGCAGAGATAAGTACTAGAAAAATAACTGGGGTATAAAGGCAAATTAAAAAAAAAATAAAGGTTAGATTTATTTTTAAAAAAGGGTATATTTTAATAAAGAGATATTAATAAAGGGTAACATATCCATTCTAAACATGCTTGTTTAAATAATGAGTGCATTTTAAAATGCACAATGATTCTAAGATTATTTTATACTGGTTAGCATAACCTGGCCAGAAGACACGCTTTGATTTCTACTGTTAGTTAATATTGTCTGTTGAAGTAATATAAAAAAGCTTAGTGAACATTATTTAAATCTCTATTCTTCTCTGCCAAAGAGGTAGTACTCATAATTTTTCATGTTATATACTAGGGTATACACTACTGTAGAGAGACCAGTGGAAGCCCAGCTTCTTCTAATAAACTGGGCATAACTGGGGATGCCATGTTGAATTTACTGTATTCATGCCATTCATTTAGAAAATTCCAGCTATCACACAGCCAAACTATGGCCCACTTGAAACTATTAACACATATTTATTACTAGAAGACAATTCCCAGTTGAAAGCATATTGAAACCTAGTTGAAAACACTTGAAACCTAGGCTAGATAACTGAATACTTAGATACTGACATCACTTTCTTTTTCCACAGCTCTCAATAAAAAAGTAACTTTTTATTGTTCAATTTTAAGTGGTTAATTATTTTGACTCAAGTGAGAATTTGGATAATCTGGTCCAAAAACCATTCTGCAAGAGAAAGAGAGTGATTCAGATTTGAACTTTGATAAATAGGTAAAATAAGAGTGATTCAGATTTGAACTTTGATAAATAGGTAAAATAAGAACAATGTAGCAAAAGAATTGAGGATATTTCTGAGAATGGATTCAGCTTCTTGATATGATAAAGAAAGGTAGAGGCTAACATCAAGAAAATAAAGGGGTCAAGAAAGTAGCAATCTCTACTGAGACAGAAGAACGAGTGAAATAGAAATAACTTAATGAAACAATAAGAAAAAAAGTATGCAATCATGGAGTCCAAGAGTATAGTATTCAAATTAATATTTCAGAGCTAGAACAATTTCTACTGATAATTAAATGTAAAGTATGATCATGAGAGTAACGACCAAAGTAGAATTGGAGGTAAAGCTCACTACATTAGAGAAAGTTAAGGAAGTGAGCGGGTGCTAAATAGATTATTCCGGTAAATGCTGACATACTCAGGCTTGATGGCAGGAATTGTGATGTTGAGGAAGACTAAAGTCAGGTTGTAAAATCATCAGTGAATAAAATGGTATAACTAAGAGGTCAACAAATGTTAGAAACAACAAAGGGTAGTGGGTGGTTGTTTTTAGTTCCAAACATAAAAGGCACCAGATATAAAAATAATAAGCACAAATCATTACAGAAGCAAATACAAGAAAATGGATAGATTACTAGATCAGCGTTCACACA